AGTGTTACAGACTGACGTGCTGTGTTTAAAGGAATTGATTAAGAAAATGACAATTCCGGCATTATTTACTTGCCCTTCTGTGTAAATCTTCATGCAGCTCTTCCTGCACAATGGCCGTTTATAATGACCACGTCTGTCAAGCTCCAAAAACACCATAAAAGTAGTTCATGTGCTCGATATTCAAGTTCTGACGTCTCATTTGGTTTATTTATGGAAAATCCCTTGTGCGGCAGCTCTCAAATCTCTTTCTTCATATTATATATATATTTGAACAGAAGTGAGAACTGATGATGTTTGGCATAAATTATGTCAGTCTCAATGCAATTGCACATGAGATTATCGCTGAATAAAATCAGCAGCAAAAATGCAGAAATAGTCTGGAAGTTCTGTTCATTTCTGTAAATTACTATATTAGAACTGTCCGTTTCATTGAAGTTTCTTTGCATTATTTGTGTTAATTGTAATTATTCAAGTATGTAAGACCCTGCATGCTTTGAAAGGTTTTAGTAAAAATATACACTACTGTTCAAAAGTTTGGGGTCAGTGAGATTTTTCAATATTTTTTGAAAGAAGTCTCTTCTGCTCCCCAAGGCTGCACTTATTTGAGCAAAAATACAGTAAAAATGTGAAATATTATTTCTATTTGAAATTTTTGTTTTCTATTTTAGTATCTTTTAAAATGGAATTTATTACTGTTATGTAAAGCTGAATTTTCAGCACCATTACTCCAGTCTTCAGTGTCACATGATCCTTCAGAAAGCATTCTTAATATGCTGCTCAAGAAACATTTCCGATTATTATCAGTGTTGAAAACAGTTGTGCTGCTTCATATTTTGGAAACAATGTTACATTTTTTCACTGTTATTTGATGAATAGAAAGTTCAAAATAACATTTATTTGAAAAATCTTTTGTGGCATTCTAAATGTCTTTAATGTTCATTTTGATCAATTGAATGTGTCTGTGATAAATAAAACCATTCATTTCTTTAAAGTTTTTACTGGTTAAGTTGGTATTGCATGTAGTGCATATTACTAGGTTCCAGAGTTTGATTGTTGAAATGATGGGTCCATCTCAACAACAGGCTAAAATATTAAGATTTGTTTTTAGTTCTGTTGCTTGGCCTTAAAATGACCAGCAATGTTTGTCTTGTAAGCCGTGTTGCTGAAGGGGACAGTGATGAATCACTGGGGTTCATCTGGGGTTTGAATCTCCAGTCTTTGTGTTTCCAGCATTAACCGTAATGCTATACCACCACAAAACCTAGATATCCATCTACAGACATCTCCATATAAAGGACGTACAGCTTTTAGATCCTCAGAACAAACAGACAGATCATTAGCAATTCTGAAACAAAAGTTTAGATATTTTCTTACAGGCGCCAGACAGACACACAAATCATGCCGCCGTCAAAGCTGCTGGATGAGTGCTGCATGAATGCATGGCATTCAGAGGTGCTGCACTTTAAGAACTTTTATTGGCATTTTCTGTTTGAGAGAACATTTGATACTGTAACATGAGTGATATTTTATTGCAGAATGATGTGCTTTTGCTGAGTAAAGGAGTGTACAGCCTAGAAAGACGAATGCACTTGGAATGGATTTGGCTGACATGAAACCATAAATACAGTTTTGTGTGGAAAACCAGTTTCACAGCTCAAGTGCTGTTTGCCAAAGTTACTTATTCTTCCTTCGGCCAGTCAGAAACTTTCAGCGGAGATGGTGCTCCAGTCGGCCCTGTTTTGAAAGTTTGTTCTGTTGAAGCGCAAATGAAGGGAAGGTGATGTCGTGTCTCACTATAGGGCCTTTCGCACCGCTTTAGTTCCAGAACTAAATGTACAGTACTAAAGTACTGGGACGATTTTGCGCGAACTATTTCCCAGTGGTACTATGAAAAGGTTCCCGCGGTGCGAAAGGCCCTTATGTGGCCCAATTATAGCATAAAACACTCCTGACTAGACCAATGTAACATCTGTGCTTTCTAAGCTGTTTAACTTGCTTAACCATTGAGACCTAAACCGTCCAGAAAGCATGCAGGTAGGTCAGCTTCACCACTCATGTTAATGGCTGTTTGCAATGGCTCGGAATGATTAGTCAACTAGGCTGAGTTTAGATTTCTATTTTTAACTTTTATGTCAAGCTATTTTGAGCCTTTTTAGCAATACAATTTAGAGCTGCAACTTTGTAGGAAAAATACATTTCAGTGGGGAAAAATACAATACAATAAAAATGTAGAATTTTTTACATTTTATTTATTTATTCTAAAAAAATGAATTTTGCCTGTTTATAGAAATTAAGATAATTTTTGTAATTACAGTCCATCTATTCTCCAAACCTCTTGTCCTATGCAGGGTTATGGGGATGCTGGAGCCTATTTCAGATTTTTTTAAATTTTATTTTATATTTTAATTTTTATTTTCAATATAAATATTTTAATATATATATAACATTTTTATCTTAATTAAAAATTAAACTTACAATAAAAAAAAAAAAAAAAAGTTTTTTTTTAGTTTTAATTAAAAAAAATTTACATTAAAAATTAACATTATTTTTATTTTAATTTTTAAGTTGAAGTTTTATTTTTATTTATCATTTTCACTATTCAAAGTGAATATTTTTCACTCTTAAAAGTATGTGTTCAACATATATTACCAAGACATTTCTCAGTGTTTGGTGGCCATGACCCTAAATCAGCAAAATGAAAGCTAGTCAGCTTGTCAACCCAGACAACCCACTGACTAGCTGAAAACAGGTCTCTGTGTGTTTCAGCAAAGATGTTGAGTCTCTGGAAATAATCAGTCAGTGCATGTTGTTCTCTTGTCTCTCTTATTTTCTGTCTCTGTCTCTCTGCTTGTCTCCATTTATGTCCGTCTCTCTCAGCCAGCGTGGTCCAGTTTTGCGCTGTTCACTCCTCCCTTGTTACCATGACAACCGCCATCCGTCCTATAGCTGCTCCGGGGATTTGGCCGGGTCTCGCTCTCACACTCGCATCCTCTGAGACCCTTCCCATTCAGAAACATCACCGACGACACGTTACCACCACATGATTTCCCATGCCGAGATGAAAGCGCTGTGGCGTTCTTGTAATGTTTTTTCATATTTAGAGACATAGTGAGTTAATTGCGGAGGGAGGCAGGGGAGAGTTTGGGTTCCTGTGGAAACTTGGATGCTTGGATGTTTTTGCCCTTTTTGCATTTTTGTTTCAGTTTTTCCCCTCCGTTCTTTCTGTTCTCGAGAAGTTCAAGTGCAGTTCAGTGTTTTGGGTTTGATCCATCTCATTCCTCTGTTGCTCCAGGTGGCCTAGTGTGATTCCAGCATGTGTGCGCGCATTTCAGACCGCTAATGTCTGCATCCATGTGTGTTTTCATGGGCAATTTCCTACCACCTCTTGATTTAATAGGGTTTTTTTCCCTTTTTGAGATGATATGCTTTCCTTTAGATAAGGAAAGCGGCCCTTATTTTATTTGCAGGTATATTTGAAGCTCAATGGCACATCTTATTGATAGAGAACTGAACTAAGGCATAATTTGCTTCTAAAAAGAGAATTTCCATTCAGCTCAAAAGCTGTCAGAGAAGCTGATTTCCTTGGAAAAACAGAAAAGCTTGGTGCCAAAACCTAGTGAGCTGTTCATGTAAGCAGTAGGTCATTGAAGTTACATTTTTGACTCAAACGGTAGGCTGTATGATTGTGTAGAGCACAACCCCAGCAGATGAAGTGCAAGAAATGTTGATTGTAAATATATTATTTTCAATCCTGTAATGTGTCAATAATAATAATAATTTATATATTATAGGAATAGGTTTTGTTGTTATTATTATTATAATTATTGATTTTGTGCTTATTGATCTCATCAGTAGCATAGCTACAGGCTAAAAGCAAATGTTATTAAAACTATTTTCTCCAGTATTTGTGTGTATTAATATTATTATTATAGTAATAATTATATTTTATTATAGTAATAAATAAAATAAAAATAAATAATAATTTAGGTTTTTCATTTATTATTATTACTATTCATTTAAACTGTTATTAAATTATTTGCTATTTATTATTGCTATAATATAATTATTGCTGTAATAATAATCATAATCATTTATATATTAATATTACAGAAATAGATATTGTTATTATTATTATTATCATAATATTATTGTAGTAAAACATATCTAAAAATAAAAATAGTACATTTTATATAAATATTATTACATATATGTTGAGTAAAATTACTAATTATTATTATTATTATTATAATTACTGATTTTGTGCTTATTGATCTCATCGGTAGCATAGATACATGCTAAAAGCAAATGTTATTAAAACTATTTTCTCCAGTATTTCTGTATATATATTTATTTAGCTATTTTGTGCTTATTGATCTTGTCATTAACACAGCTACATTCTAAAAGCAAATGTTATTGAAATCACGCGCATAGTTTTCTATGTGTGTCACGGTAAATAAGAAAGAGTTGCTGCCTATGTAGAGTGCTTGAAGTTGGTTACTTATGAGGGTCCATTTCAGTTAGGATGCTGCCAATGTAGATAGTAGATTATGTATATGTAATACTCTAGTATGGACTATTTTATTGTAAACATATTATTTTACGGAGTATTATTTAGGATAGAATATAGATAGTGTGGCTTAGTGATTACATTTCCTGGCTGGCTACCCAAAGGTTTTAGGTTCAAACTCTAGAATTAGTGTTCTGCTGTAGTATAATGTGTGTGCTAAATTCATCATAATGTCATGTAATTTACCACACTATTTCACCGAGGCTGATTTTTGGCTTTGATGAACTTAGGCAATGTATAAAGAATATGGATTGGAGTGTTACATACATGATCGATCTGTTTATACTGAAACCGAATATTCATTTGGGGTCATTTATCTGACTGGTATATGTGCGTAAGCTACATGAGCAGTTAATGACGCTTTTACTCATTGGAGAGCGTGATAAACAGCAGGTGTTGATGTTAAAGTTGTGTGTTGTGTGTTTTATTACAGGCAGCATCAGCAGCAACAGCAGGCCGAACTGGAGGTTCACCAGAGAGATGGACTGACTGCTTATGACCTGTCACAGGTGCGCACACACACACACACATTAGTCCGTCATTTAGTCTCCTAACCCTTACAGGTGCATTACTCTCTTTAGCTTGTGTAGTACGTATCATTTATCCTCCTTCGTTTTATATGCAAGTCCCTCTTAAATCAGTGTCACAGCTGAAGCTGTTTAAGATTTATACTTCAAATTGAATATCAGCCAATGAAGCTCCCAGAGGAACATTTTATTCTCCAGAAGTGCTGTTTAATAATTTTTAATAATAATTAAAAAAAAAAAGTGTGTGCTAAAAAAGATAAAATATTAGATTTGTTTAACTGTATCCCATTAATTCTTCTAACCATTTGTCCTGTGTAAGGTTGCAGGGATGCCTATTCCAGCATATACAGTGGGTACGGAAAGTATTCAGACCCCCTTAAATGTTTCACTCTTTGTTATATTGCAGCTCACTGTAAATTATTATTATTTTTTTCATTTTCATTTACTTTCATTTAATTACATTTTTTTGTTTTTAAGTTTTTAATTTTATACCTTTTTTATATATATATAATTTTTAATGAACTTAACTTCTCAGGTGGTTATTTTCAGACAAAATCTCTATTTGTTCTGTTTAATCTCATTGCTGTTTAGGAGAAACAGTTGATAATATTGAGAGATTACATCAAATTTAATTTTTTTTTCTTTCACAAGGAAAAGTAGCCTGATCTTCTCCCTTATCTTTTCTGTTTTGTGTATCAAAGTTGTTTTATTCCATTAACATCCTTGAAAAGGTTAATTCAAGGTCATTTTTATGCATTTTAAGGGGAAAAATAGTCTTAAATATTTAATTTCATTTCTTTTTAATACATAAAAGTCATTAAAATTTTTATTTTAATAACCCAAGTATGGTTTTTATCATGAAAATAGACAAAGAAGCTGGTGTGGCACAAAAACCAGTTGTGTGCATGAATATTAAGCAACATATTAGACAACTAGTAAAATACAACATTATTTCTATACTAATAAGTGAAAAAGTAAATAGCTATATTACAAAATTCTATATTGTACACTGTTGTTTCTCATTTAATTGTGCCATTTGCAATGCTTCATGGCATGTGTAATTCATTGTCTCATAAAAGAATCTAAAATCAGCATGCAATCAAAATTAAACATTTATTTTTAATGGATCTTTTATGCATGCAACAATTCATCCATGCATTGATTTATTCTTTTTTTTTTTTATTTGACACAAAAATGTCATCTTTATTCAAATTGTCATAACTCATTTATTTTTAATGGATCTTTTATGCATGCAACAATTCATCCATGCATTGATTTATTCTTTTTTTTTTTTATTTGACACAAAAATGTCATCTTTATTCAAATTGTCATAACTCATTTATTTTTAATGGATCTTTTATGCATGCAACAATTCATCCATGCATTTATTTATTTATTCATTTATTTATTTATTTTACAAAAAAATGTCTCATCCTATGCTCACTTGATGACGTATGCAAGCCAGTCGCATTTTTTGGGAAATTCTGCCTCAATTCCAGTATGCAGTGCTCACTTTTTACAATACAATCAACAAACAACAGATAAAATTAAGTTCTCTGTTTTTCATGCCAACTTTACGTCTTTGTAATGTTTTAATTTATCTCTAAACCACTGATTTCATTCATGGCTCAAAACTTTCTTTTTTTTTTTTAATCCTAATGGATGAAACGAATGGAAAAAAATTCTTCCAGAATTGATTCGAGGGCAAAATGTGAGGTCACTTTTGTGCACTTAATGCTTTATGACACTTGTTAGGATGAGATGCATGCTGGAACTGCATTGTCTGTTACTCTGGATAATGACTGATAAATGCGATAGAGAATCTGCATAATTGTAGTCATTTTAGCCGTGGATCGTTAACTCCCTCTCTGTGGATCTGTGCTATAAAAATAGGCCATAGTTATGAGGTGAAGTCACACATATGGAACATGCCCTCCGTCTTTCACAACTTAACACACATTTGCTTTTAGTCATAAGTGTTAATGTTGTTATGTTATATCATATGTTGTTTCTGTTAAAGAGGTCATTTGAGTCAGTCTTAATAAAGCAGAGAGGATTATTTGTTGAAAACAGATAATGTCTCACACATGGGATGTTGGGTTGCACCCATCAGCATTTACAATCTGTGAATGTTTAACACCTGTCTGCAATTTAGAAAGTGTTAGAAAGAGACCATCATTATTGATTCCTGCTTTTGCCCTTACAAGACAGAAATATATGGGAATATATTGGAAAATATAATGCGATTATATTAAATAACACATTTACATATATGCAAAACTTGTGCTTGTATTTTCATTACATTGCAATATATGCATGGATTATGTATACTGATACATATAAAATATATAGAACTGAAGACAAAAAATGCACTGCACTTTTACATGTACACTGTTCAGAATGATATGATCAGTAAGTCATGGCAACTTTTTTTTTACATTAAAATTTTTTTGTTTTATGAAATTTAACTTGATTTTTAAGTCGGTTTAATGTAATTTAAGTTGAAATGACTTGCAAGTTGATTATACTTAAAACTTTAAGGCAGCAACTGAACTTACATTTTTATGTTGAAATAGGTAGAATTTCACTTTCATGAATTAATGTTTACTTAAAGCTGAACACGTATTAACAAACATTTATTTCCCTTTATTGTTTGCATAGTTACACATTTCATATGAAAATGTGTGTGATGGTATATAAGAAAAAAAGTGTTTACTGGAAACAAATATTAACATTTTAGGATTATTTGCAATATATGTACACAATTATGAGGAAATAATATTTTATATAATTTATATATATATATATGTGTGTGTGTGTGTGTGTATATATATATATATAAGCAATATCACACGAATAAATAAATGCATGCAACAATTCATCCATGCATTTATTTATTTATTCATTTATTTATTTATTTTACAAAAAAATGTCTCATCCTATGCTCACTTGATGACGTATGCAAGCCAGTCGCATTTTTTGGGAAATTCTGCCTCAATTCCAGTATGCAGTGCTCACTTTTTACAATACAATCAACAAACAACAGATAAAATTAAGTTCTCTGTTTTTCATGCCAACTTTACGTCTTTGTAATGTTTTAATTTATCTCTAAACCACTGATTTCATTCATGGCTCAAAACTTTCTTTTTTTTTTTTAATCCTAATGGATGAAACGAATGGAAAAAAATTCTTCCAGAATTGATTCGAGGGCAAAATGTGAGGTCACTTTTGTGCACTTAATGCTTTATGACACTTGTTAGGATGAGATGCATGCTGGAACTGCATTGTCTGTTACTCTGGATAATGACTGATAAATGCGATAGAGAATCTGCATAATTGTAGTCATTTTAGCCGTGGATCGTTAACTCCCTCTCTGTGGATCTGTGCTATAAAAATAGGCCATAGTTATGAGGTGAAGTCACACATATGGAACATGCCCTCCGTCTTTCACAACTTAACACACATTTGCTTTTAGTCATAAGTGTTAATGTTGTTATGTTATATCATATGTTGTTTCTGTTAAAGAGGTCATTTGAGTCAGTCTTAATAAAGCAGAGAGGATTATTTGTTGAAAACAGATAATGTCTCACACATGGGATGTTGGGTTGCACCCATCAGCATTTACAATCTGTGAATGTTTAACACCTGTCTGCAATTTAGAAAGTGTTAGAAAGAGACCATCATTATTGATTCCTGCTTTTGCCCTTACAAGACAGAAATATATGGGAATATATTGGAAAATATAATGCGATTATATTAAATAACACATTTACATATATGCAAAACTTGTGCTTGTATTTTCATTACATTGCAATATATGCATGGATTATGTATACTGATACATATAAAATATATAGAACTGAAGACAAAAAATGCACTGCACTTTTACATGTACACTGTTCAGAATGATATGATCAGTAAGTCATGGCAACTTTTTTTTTACATTAAAATTTTTTTGTTTTATGAAATTTAACTTGATTTTTAAGTCGGTTTAATGTAATTTAAGTTGAAATGACTTGCAAGTTGATTATACTTAAAACTTTAAGGCAGCAACTGAACTTACATTTTTATGTTGAAATAGGTAGAATTTCACTTTCATGAATTAATGTTTACTTAAAGCTGAACACGTATTAACAAACATTTATTTCCCTTTATTGTTTGCATAGTTACACATTTCATATGAAAATGTGTGTGATGGTATATAAGAAAAAAAGTGTTTACTGGAAACAAATATTAACATTTTAGGATTATTTGCAATATATGTACACAATTATGAGGAAATAATATTTTATATAATTTATATATATATATGTGTGTGTGTGTGTATATATATATATATAAGCAATATCACACGAGTAGCCGTGTGATATGACTATATCGGCAAGGCTGTGATTCGGCCGTAGACACGAGGTTGCAGTGTACCGATATACAGCCATATCTCACAGCAACGAGTGTGATATTGCATTTATACAACACTTCAACGGCACAAGTGTGTAAATATATAAGAAACAACAACGGAGTGTCTTTAAAAACCCTCTTTTGTGCAGAACTACTTCCTTATGCCATGGATTCAAATCTCAGTTTGCCAGTTTAACAGCTAAAACGGTAACACTTTACAATAAGGATCATTAGTTAACGTAAGTTAACTACTTTAGTTAACATTAACTAAGAATGAACAATACTTCTACAGCATTTATTAATCTTAGTTAACGTTAATTATAACATTTACTAATGCATTATTAAAATCAAAAGTTGTGCTTGTTAACGTTAGTTAATGCGCTGTGAATTAACATGAACTAACTATGAACAACTGTATTTTCATTAACTAACATTAACAAAGATGAATAAATACTTTAATAAATGTATTGTTTATTGTTTGTTCATGTTAGTTAATGCATTAACATTAACTAATGGAACCTTATTGTAAAGTGTTACCGCTAAAACATTAGTTTGAATGTCCGCTGAGGAAAGCAATATCTTTGTCGTACTGTCCTTTCAGTTGCTAGGCAATTCAGTCAAAAGTACAAAGGCAGCACTCTGATATACAGCATTGAAGTTACATAAAATATAATGTGTTGAGATTTTGCCCTCTGACATTTTGCCCTTTGCTCTGGAATAAATAATAGATTAATGAGACCAAAGACTCCCCATCAGATTTACCCAAAACAAATTATATCTCATGTTTAACCACTATAGAGACATTAGAGCCAGCGGCAAATTCTAGAAGATCTGGCCGAGGTGAGGCTGCTCTCGGCGGGTTCATGAACGCTGAACGGCCGCTGACGCCCTGGAGCTCACATCTCCGAAAACGTTGAAGCAAATTTTCAAATAGACGTTATTTTTATTAACAAACCACATATTTGATGTCTAAAGTACATTCTCGCCTAACAAAAACAGTATTATTTATCAAATTTAGTGAATTTGGGCATCCGCCATGACACTCGCTGTAAGAAATACTGCAAGCGGTTGAAACGGTTGGAGTTCAGTTATCACTAGAATATCGCACTCCTCTCAGCCAATCAGATTCGAGGACCAGAAAGAACTATTGTGTGTATGAGTGTGTGTGTGTGTGTGTGTATATATATATATATATATATATACACTACATACATGTTCAAATATATTTATACTCACAGTACCATATTTTATTACGTTCCTTATGTAATTATTCAACATAGTCAATATATTGATATATTGTAATATATAAACACAATATATTACTCTATGTATTTTCAGTAAACAGTAAATATGATATACTGATTGTTAATATGTAAGGATATATATATATTCTTTGTGTAAAGGTGCTGTTTTATACTTTCAGTAAAGTTAGGTTTGTGTTCATTTCATTTCTTGTTTTGCATTTATTAGCATTCAGTTTTCTTCAGTTAAATTGTCAAGCAGACCCTCTCATATTGATGTCCACAGGTGCCGGTTGCCAGCGTCCCAGCTGGCGTTCACGAGGCAGGCAAGACCATCGACAAAACCGATTCGCTGTTCTCACAGGAGAGAGACCCGCGCTTCAGCGACATGTACACAGGGATCTCTGGATGTATGTTCTTACACATATTATATCTGACTAGCACTGCATCACACGCGGATTTCAGTCTAAACATGCAATTTACTGTAATTTCACTTAATGTATTACAAAGCCTGCGCATGTCTGCCAGCTCGAGTTTGTACGCTGTTTTAATGCTTGATATGAAGTGTATACAATCTATGATTGGTACATTTGGTAGATATTCTGAAGAACTTACAAAGAAATTGAGTCGGAAATTCCAGTTTAAACACGTAAAATCCAGATTTCTAGCTGGTCAGAGCCGGTTATTTAGGGTCATTAGCTGGTCAAAGCTGGTTAATTGTAATAAGTTTACATGCCTTTCCTCTGTAGTTTGACTCTGTTCCTCTTTTCTTTTTGCTGCGGCTGATAAAGATGTTGCTGTAATGTGATGTGTGGCTGTGTCTCCTCTCTTAAATGTAGTCATTGAGTGTGAGCTCGATAAGGATCTCTGTTTGTTCTGTTTGCGTTTAGCTGATAAGAAGATGATGGTGCCGTCCTCCACTGCTGGCGGCCAGCAGTTATACTCTCAAGGCAGCCCATTTCAACCCGGACACTCTGGCAAGAGCTTCAGGTGTGGATGAACACATTTCACATTAAAGTAGAAACACAATCTGGTCATTTGATTGCTTTAATGCAGAATACAACTCCAGTAGCACCAACAGCAGTTTTCACATGCAAAATCACAAAAAAAGTTACTGATACAATATCGTTCAAAAGTTTGGGTTCAGGTGTTTTAATACTTTTATTCAGCAAGAATGCATTAAATTGATCAAAAATGGCAGTAAAGACTTTTATAATGTTACAAAAGATTCTATTTCTTTTGAACCTTCCATTCATCAAAGAATCTTAAAAAATGTATAATTTTCCACAAAAATATTTAGCAGCACAACTCAAAATCAGCATATTAAAATGATTTCTGAAGGATCATGTGACACTGAAGACTGGAGTAATGATTTTAAATCACAGGAATTACACTTACATTTTAAAATCTGTTCAAATAGATTGTAATTGTAATAATATTTCAGAATATTACTGTTTTTACTGTATTTGTGTACTTAGTAGACTTAATAAAATGCTTAATATACTTTTGAGATGAATGTGGTGGTGGTTATTTTTATGAAATGAAAAAGTAATGATATTGGAATATATCACAGAATAATGTTAATTATGGCTGTCTACAAAATACATTTTTGGAGTCATGGTGGGTGAATTGAGAGCATTTATTAGTCACAAATATTTCTTGCTGGCCATAAAACTATTTGTGGCATTATTGCGTTGAACTACTTATGCTATGTGCTTTTGGAGAAGAAATTTGACAGAGAAAATATTGTTTATTTTTCCCGCCAATCGCATCATACTTTAGACAGTCTTCAAAACGCCACCTGTCACCAAAATGTCAAGACCTGTCATGATTTTGTGCCTAAAATGTTTGGTTAGGATGCAAGGATTGCGTCTTTAAGGATCATAAAAATTTAAAAAAAAAAATCTTACAGGGCATCAAAATCTTAATACTTTGTGTAAAGCAGGGTTATTATTGTTAACTCAAACAAACACCATAAAAAATTTTCGTTGAAATAAAATAAACCTTAACTGAAATAAAATATAAAAAATAACTTAGTAGCTGAAATAAAATAAGTTTTTTAAATATATTTTATTTCCCATTTTCGCTGTTTGAAGTACTAAAATATATAAAACTAACAGATGAAAATGTATAAGAACTGTATAGACTTTGTAAAAAAAAAAAATAATAATAATAATAAAAATGACAGAAAACAACAAGACTACTAAAACTTTACCTAACATTAAAATGAAAACATATAATGAAAGAAAATAAAATCTAATTTAAAATATTAACAAAATATAATAGTAGATCAATGATACTAAAATATCAGGGGTCTGTAATCAAGCATTGTACTTGGTGTGAAAGGCCTTCAGACGTTTCACAGAGAATTAAGAGGATGGGTTGGTTTAATTCAGTCACATAATGTGGTGTGTGTGCGTGTTTCAGCTCATCTGTGATCCACGTCCCAGGAGTCAATGACATCCAGTCCACAGCTGGTTCAGCTGGACAGAACCTGACCCAGATCTCCCGACAGATCAACACCGGCCAGGTGTCGTGGACAGGAAGCCGACCTCCCTTCTCCGGCCAGGTGAGAATGATCCCGGCATTGGGTGTGCGTGACTGCGCTGCCCACTGCCCGCTGGCGCTCTAGTCTCCATTAACATAATTAAAATAATGGAACATTCCTCTTTAGCAGCCTGATGAGAGAACTGGTTCCAGATCCACGTTTGAATGTGGAGCAATGGCTGAAAAAGATCCTTCAGGGCTCAGTAATTAGTTCATACTTGCATAAAAAAAAATATCGGTAACACTTTACAATAAGGTTCATTAGTTAACTACTTTAGTTAACATGAACTAAGCATGAACAATACTTCTACAGCATTTATTAATCTTAGTTAATGTTCATTTCAACATTTACTATTGCATTATTCAAATCGAAAGCTGTGCTTGTTAACATTAGTTAATGCACTGTGAATTAACATGAACTAACAATGAACGACTATATTTTCATTAACTAACATAATCAAAGATGAATAAACACTGTAATAAATGCATTGTTCATTGTTCGTTCATATAAGTTAATACATCAACTGACATTAACTAATGGAACCTTATTGTAAAGTGTTACCAAAATATGTATATATACATAGCAAAATAAGCTAAGGTGTCAGCCTACACCTTTTTTGGTTGAGGTGTAAATTATGTATAATAACCTAAATAAATGTTCTTGCTTTTATGTATGTATATATGTATATATATACAAAAATAAAAATCAAGGATAATGTCTATAAAAATAATTGTAAAGGAAACATTACATTTATACGTATATACAATATTGATATAAAAATATAAATATTAATATATTCTGCAACATAT